AGATTTTCTGGAACCAATCAGATGGCAGAACGACTGCGACCGTTTGGAACTAGTCTTGTAAGACAATTTCCCCAGGGGCTCACACTCCTTAAGTCTAGATCTTTGCGGAAAATTTTTCACAGCCTTGCTCATTGTTGTGTGCAATATTAGAAAAATCCCCTATGGAAGTTTGAAATACGTGGCGCTAGTAACTACTTTACTCCGTACAGAATAGTCACCTCCAGCTCGATGTTGTTGTAAAACATGTTTGTTTTTATAGGTTGCTAATATGTTGTCAATTTGGTGAGAAGGAAAGGAGTTGCACAACCAGAGGCTGTGTCATTTACCAAAATGACATACCAAAGAAAAAATGTACCAAAGCAAAAATGTACCAAAGCAAAAATGTACCAAAGCAAAAATGTGGCCCTCTTTATCTTTGAAATGAGTGAAACTGTAGAAATTTGTTAGAAGCTCAGTGTACATGGTCATATGGTAAATAGCAGTAATACAAGAATCCGTTGAGTTGTCAAACAAAATGTCTGAAAAAGGAAGTTTCCCATTAAATTGTGTTTCAAAAGTAAACGTATTATTGGGGTTTGTGGTGTTGAGACAGCGTATAAAAATTATTGCATCCTGCTCATTGTAAACTAAGCTAAAAGTGTTATCCACTCACTGACAAGCTTAGTCTTAGGATCATAAAGTTAAGGAGATGCCTGTACAGAAATTAAACTGCATCTATCAACGTTAGACTACTTAGTTAGGTGAAACCAGAACAAACTAAAATTGAATTAAGTGAACCTTCAAAGCATTTCTTTTTTGCCTTCCAGAAAGCTGAGTATCAAAGAGCAACCAGTAATGTCTGATGAACGTAAAAGTTTAAAGCCAAGTGCATCTCAAGGTAAGAGTTATTCAAAGCATGAATTTATTTATAATAGCCTAAACGATAATTGGACCACAGTGGTTTACTTAAACTTAGTTGCACATTGAGGTGTATTAATATTTGTTTCAAATATATATTTGTTTTCAAAGTGAATTTTTATTTCATGCAGTTTTGGACTTCAAGTACACTTCTAGAATACCACTTAAAAATAATTTATTTTCCCCCAAATAAAAACGTCCCTGTCTCATACCTTTGACATATTTTTAATATTTAACAAAGATATTAAGTAAAAAAAGTAGAAATAAAACGATCAAATCATCAATAAAATGATACTAGTTGAAAACAAAAGTGAAAAACTAAAATATGTTAAATGAAATAATTTGGATATATCAACAAAGTTGAAGTGGTAAATTGGCCACCGTGACGATTCCAAAAGCTGACGTTTCGAGCGTTAGCCCTTCGTCGGAGCGAATAGAGGAATTGTGGGTTGTGTGGGCTTTTAAAGGCAGAGAATGGAGCTAGGTTATTGGTGGGAACATGGCAACGAGAAAAACAAGAATAAATTAGTGGAATGAAAAGCGTTCGATGATCCCTGTGGGATTTAGACTGCCGGTTTGAAAGATGAGCTTTTGTTCAAGATTTTTACGGCTTTCCGTGCTACCTAAGTGTAAGGA